TACTCCAAAAAAGTTTTAAAAAAACAGACTACTGGACTTTGTTTCCAAGTTTGAAGACATGTCGCTTCCCATCCTGGAAGCTTTTTTAATTCATGTTATCTTTGCACCAGTCCAGCAGCTGCTCCACCTCCTCTCTGTAGTCCTCATCTCTGATGAGGCCCACCACCGTGGTTTCATCTGTAAACTTAACGATGTGATTGGTGGTGAAACTGGGGAGTCGTGTGTAGTCAGAGTGAACAGCAGGGGGCTCTGGACGCACCCCTGAAGGGAGCCCTGTGCTTACGATGATGACATCAGAGGTGTTCTGTCCGACCCGGATTGACTGAGGTCTGTTGGTGAGGAAGTCTAGCAGCCAATAGCCGAGGGGTGTATTGAAACCCAGCTGTATCAAGCCGCTGCCTACTGGTGCAGCCATCTTGCTGATGTGTTGTGTGTTGCCAACAACGCCTTTGTTTATAGATGTTGGAGCTTGTAATATTTCCAGTGTAGTCCTGTTTCTCTGACCGTGACTAACTGTATGTGCTCTCTTTCATCCTCTGACATGGGAGCTGGCTCAGAGCTCCTCTTTCTGGCTGTGTGTTTCCTGGACGGGGCCGCCTGTAGAGCTGGTTGACAGTTGCCTTTTGTGTCTCTGCTTCTTTCTGTATCTCTGCTTCTGTCTCCTTGAACCCCAGTCGGCCTCGGCAGATGGCCGCTCACACTGAGCCTGGTTCTGCTGGAGGTGTCTTAAAGTTAAAAGGGAGGTTTCCTCTCCACTGTTGCTACAAGTGACTGAAGTCAATGAGTCGATGCAATCGGCTGGTTTTCCTTAGAAAGTAAACTTTGAACCAATCTAACTGTATGGTCTGGTTAAATTGTCTCTGTAGAGTGCCTGGACATATTCACAGCATGGCCTTATATACAGTAAATGAACTGAATTTAATTTAATTGAACAGGTGGGAGATCAGAGCAAGGACTCGGCCAGAGAACACATATTAAGGTGGGCAGTGTCAGGGCTCCTGTCTGTCTGTTTGTTTTTGTGTTTGTCTCCCTTCCACCAACAGGAGGCGCCTGGTTTCCGGTTCGCCTCCTCACACACCTGCTGACGGTTACCTTGTTAACGGAGTGTTCTTAAGCTGATGATTGCCACGACCTCGACGCCAGATCTTTTGACAGTTTTTGGTATTCTAGCCAAGCTGAGTTTTCACTGAGTAAGACTGAGTTCTTGTCTAACTGAGATTTAACTTTGTTTTTTGTCTTTGCCTCTCAGCAGGAAGTCATCCTGCAAACTGGACCTTTACTCCCTGGAGGGATTAACTGAGTCTAAACTGAGCCACGGATTCAAACAGGTGGTTTGGATCCAGTTTCCCTTTGAGGACGTTGAAATTACTCTCTAAGCAAGGGAATCATCTTCACCAAGACCTGTTCAAGTACAGCAGGCAATCTGAGTGGCAATCAACGTCTCCGTTTACCTACATCGTCCTGTTCCGCCCAGACATACACTGGAAAACCAACACACAGATTGGAGTCAAGGTTCCTTCACTTCTCTGGACGCGTGAGTCAAAAATCAGATCCTCCCCTTCAAGATCAACAAATCAAATTTCCCACTGAGCCTGAACTAACAGTCTGTCTTCCCCTTGCCTTCCAGTTCCAACTGAGCAGAGTTCAGGGAAACTCTGCACCGTGCTTAACATCTTCAATAAATTCCTTCAAACTTTTCATCCGTGTCTCTCTGTTTGGTTTCACTGCATGTCGGTCCAAGCCTTAGATAAAATCATGACAGGCAGCATCTCTGGAGGCCCTTCAAAGGGTCATTAAAGCTTCGGTATATTTATAATTAAAGTAATAAACATCCTTGACACACAAGAATAGATTTCCATTTTGATATTAGCTACTGATGAAGAACAGTGGTTTAGGTCAGTATTTAGTATTTGCTGGAAACCAGGTGCTGATGCTTTTGGTGTAGTCAAGATCAAGATTACATCAACCAAGACTGAGGAAGACCCGAGACAAGGCCAACACCTTAGATCGGGGTAACCAATTAAAAATCAGTGGGGTCCCAATAAAGAAAATCATCAACCAGTAAAGGTCCGGAGACATTTTGAATTATAATCTGTTACATAAACAGAATTTAACACTGTCGCCGGACAACATGCGGTAATTTATAAATGTTTTAAATCAGGTTGGGTGTGGATTAGCCAGGAGGGGGATCTGGATCCGGACCGCGGCCCGCTAATCCGTGACCTCTGCCTTAGATGGTCCTGGTGTGGTCTAACACTAGTTGATGCACGGATGGAAGAGAGCATAGACCAATGTCTGCTCATTCCCTGGAGATTGAGTCAGATGTGTGTTTAGAAAAGCAAGCTGGTATGTAAGGGAAAAGACAGAAAAGTAGGAGGCAGCAGACATTCATTTCTACTGAGAGCTGTGTTTTTTAAGTCCTCTCGCCCACATGTTGTCATTAGCTGGTGGCTATGAGCTCTCCTTCCCAAAGGCTGCCACTCAGAAAGAAGGGCTGCAATCATAAATCAGTGCACAGCAAGACAAGAATTCATGAGGACGTCGATTTAAATAAACCTTTGAATTTATTTATCTATTCACTCTTTTTGTTTTTAAGTTGCCACATATTTAAATTTGAATCATTTTAGAGGACTCAAATGATGCAAATAAGGTGACAGTGAAAAGACCCCTCCATCCAAAAAATGAATAATTTTTTATTCAGGTGTCTGTGTCTTTGTGTGGAAGTGTTGTGTTGTATGCAAACGCATGGGAATAAATCTGGGATTATGTCTGACATGGAGCCAGTGAATCATCCTGTTAAGGTCCAACAGTGAGCCACATGCTTGTCCTGCCAGCCAGACACAAATCCTGCCCTTTTCATTCATTGCCTCTAATTAAATGAAGCTGAAGGGAAAAATTACCTTCTACAAGCCAGAAGCTGTGTGGACATGTGTGATGGAGGCCTTTGTCCTTCAGATACAAGGCTTGTCTTACTCCCAGTTCCTTGGGTTTGTTTAAATTTAATCAATTTCTCTAGGATAAAAGCTGCTTCTACTCAACATAATATGTTCATGCAGAAATATTTTTCTACCTGTTTTGTTTTAAGGATTCTGTCTCCAAACACCCTTAGTTTCATTAGTAAATCCCATAAAGGCCATTTCATTACCATTTATCATTTTCTCCCTGCTATAACGGCTCCATTTCCTTTTCTTCTCATTCAGGACTGTAGAGTTTCAGCCTGAGCTGTAATTCTGTTCTCTGTGGTTAGCTAATATATTAATGGACAAGGCTTTGAGCCTCTAACCCAGGGGCGGATTTAGGAAATTTTGGGCCCTAGGCAAAGACAGGCAGGGGGCCCTCTGAATTGAGAAGATAACACATAAAACAGACCCATTATACAGATAGAGACATTTTTATAGAATAGACATACTTTATTTGTTCTACATTTTGTCCCTTTTCTTTTTGTTTTCTTCTCTATGTTTTGTACTCAGCTGACTTTTCATTCTGTCTCAAAAGGAATGAGCGATTTTTTCCAAGCACTAAGCTAACTAAGCTGCTTGCTCCTTCCTGTGTTTCCAAAATGGCGTAAATAACCCAGTCCTTCTTTTCACTGTAGACAAGCCATGATCTGCTTATCTGTTCTCCATTTTTCATTTAGCTGCATGAATCATGACAGCAGACAAAATAGAGGAGAGCAGGAGGCGGGGTTACCAATCTACTTGCTCTGGAGAGCAGAGTTCGGTGCCATTAGATGTTGTCGCCCAAGTCTCTGGTAGCAGAAAAAAAATTGCTAGATTTGGCGCTAGGTGCTTTTTTTTAGAAATAAAAGTGTTAGAGGGTCTGAAAAGTCGCTAAATATAGCAAAAAAAAGCGCTAAGTTGGCAACACTGCTTTTCCCACCATTTATTTTCCAATGGTTTGCTGGTGTCTATTTGGACCTTTCTGAACATGTGCAGCAAATGGACTGATCCAATATGGTGGACACTGAAGGGGGGGGGGGGGGCTGAGACACACTTAATATTATAAGCGTTCTAAAGGCATTTTAGTGAAAGGATTCTTATCCAAAACATAATTAATGTGCAGAAATAAGGAATAGTTGTATTAACCATACATGTAAACATAGTTTTATGAGGCCCTCAGGAACTTGGCGCCCCAGGCAACTTCCTGGTATTGCCTAATGTTTAATTCCCCCATGATCTAACCATGAAGCTTTTTCATATTTTTTACAGTAATACCATGTGAGTCAGTGCTAAGATCCAATCAGAAACACGTTCTCCAAATTAGTTTAACAACACAGCAGAGCAGCTTTGCAGATTTACAGACATGTGAGAATCAACTGGCCATTTCATCATAGACAGAAATTTCTGCATGGTGTTATTATCAATAATGAGATACAAGCGAATCCCAGTCAGTGATGTTGGTTGATGTTAACTGGTTGCAGTGATCCCATCACTTCCGCCTCTGAAGAGCTGCGCCTGAGAAAAACGCAACGCTTCAGGCTGAACATCGCAAAGTTTAAAGAGGGTCATCGCGTCTTCTTTAAAGCAGGAAGACTGCAGCTCTCTGTATCAGAAACACTGCTTCTATTCAACATGACATGTTGAACGTTCTTCTCCTCACCCTGTCCTGTCCTGTTTGCAGGCTAATTTATGCTAATGCAGATGGTTAGTCTTTGGCACAAGAAGTGCAGTTACGTGACACTTAACATCTTTCATCTTCTTTCTATTTCTAACACCAGAGGACAGAAGGATATCAGAGATGTACTTGGATTTTCTTCATCGTAGAATATTAAAAACAAATCGATTTATTTCAGTTGCAGTAGAGATATATTAGTCTGGATATATGAGAAAAGAACTAAACATGCTTTATTTGATTAAAATGGACTCAAACAGAAACAGATGGTTGAAGGCAAGGTGGAAAATCTGCAGGCATCTTCATTAAACAAGCACCCAGAAATACAAAAAACAACAACCTGGGATTAAGGGCAACTGTTCACGGTCATACAAAAGAGTTATGAAAAAGTTTTAGGCAGAGAGGGTTTTTTTTTTAGTAACTGGGATATTATCTAGACATCAAACTGGAGTTAATCAGCTAGGCGGATTTCATCCTAACATGGAGACAAATGATGGTACTTAAGCCCGGTTCACACAGTAGGATAATCTCTCCAGTTTTAAACCAGATTATGGGGATGGGTCCTCAGATAATCCGGTGAGAATATCCTGCCATGTGTGCTAAGAGCCATCAGGTCTGCTCTAAAGGACACTGGGACCACTTCCATCCCCATTCAGCGAACATGTTGGGTGATCTTGGGCAGATATCCGAGTGTGTGTGGTGTTCCCTGAGCTCCGACATAATGGGAAGCAATCAGAAATTGGGACCTGAGAAAAAAAACAAAAAAAAAAACAGTACCTGACCAGGTTAACAGTTGGAGCCACTGCTGTCTTCCCCCAACTTTACAGTTTATCTCAGACATCATTGTTCCACTCGGCATCTCCACTGTTTCCTCGTTCGCTATTATTATTTTCTGGAGGCATTGTGAGATTTTCTGTCTGACGTCTGTTTTCGTATTTTTGGTTTCATTCTTTGTTATTCTTATTGAAAGCCTTCAGGTGGAGCACCTATTAGTCCCACTCATTTGGTGACTACTGGTTACTGTTTATAGGAAAAGTCAGGTCAGCAAGGGATGATCATTATTTACACCTAAAACTAATACATTAGCAAGGATTTAATTAATTTAGCGTTAATCAGTGAAAAAAATAAATATAGTAATTTTCGGCGCGATCACTGAGTCTTGGAGCGGCCAGTTTTGCCCAAATATAGTGACACCTCACGCCAAGATGACTTGGATAATAGCCCGTTGTGACAAACACCAGATACAGCACTGGGACTTGATCAACAGCCGATACCGCACCGTGTCGTCACAAACCAGTAGGTGGCAGTAGTGTTCTTTGACAAACATGCATGCCTCCAGTAAAGCACATTCAAATGAAAATTACTCTTAATTAAAACATATCATTTCTTGAACAGTATGTAATAATTTCATATTTAAAGTACTTTAAGAAGCCCTTATTACGCTTCTACTAAACATCCAAAAATAATAACACAGATATGTGTGATATATAAGTGTGAACTTAGCAGTCTAATAAGTTGAGAAAGGGGAATCAGTTTTACGGCTGCGCAAACAAACCAACTCCTTTCCAAGATGGACTCTTGTTTTTCCTCACACATTATCCCTTTTAGGTTTTCTCTTTTTAGCCTCCTCACAAGGTCTAAACATTTTCCTTAACTCCGCCATGACCAGAAGTTGAGCAGGCGGAAAAATAAGAGAGCGAAAGTCTTACCTCCCTGACGATATAAGAGCCTGTGGCCATAATGCAATACGTTCTCCCAGGTCACATGACCTGGCCAATGACTGAGCATCTTCTTCCAACTATAGGAACTATATTTTGTGTTTCATCTGTCTGAAAGCAGTTGGAAAAAAGGTCATACTTAAAGAAAAATTTAAGCAAGACAACCCCTTTGTGAATAGTAGCTTTGCCTCGTCTGTTCCTGTTCCTCAGCTATCTCTATAGTTATGCTGCTATAGGTTTAGACTTCTGGAGGACATAGGGATCCATTTTTCATCATTCTGCTCCATTCTATCTATATTCTCCCTCTTTGCAGAATCTATTAATTCAATCTCTAACTTTCTGCTCTCTCTGCTTTTTCTCATAGCAGCTTCATCTGGTCTGTTCCTGTTTGGCTGTCACTCCATCCTGGAGAGAAATATCAGCTGTACTGCTGCCATCAACACCTTTGTTTATAGATGTTGGAGTTCAGCATGTTTTCCAGTGTAGTCCTGTTTCTCTGACCGTGACTGGCTGGATGTGCTCTCTTTCATCCTCTGACATGGGAGCTGGCTCGGAGTTCATCTGCCTGGCTGTGTGTTTCCTGGATGGGGCCGCCTTTTACAGCTGCTTTTTGTATCTCTGCTTCTGTCTCCTTGAACCCAAGTCGGCCTCAGCAGATGGCAGCTCACACGGAACCTGGTTCTGCTGAAGGTTTCTTCCTGTTAAAAGGGAGTTTTTTCTCTCCACTGTCGCTACAAGCATGCATTCAATAAGTCGATGCAATCAACTGGTCTTCCTTTGATATAAAACTTTGAATCAATTTGACTGGATCATCTGGTGAACTATAAAGTGACCTGAGATGACATGTTGTGAAATGACACTATACAAATAAACTAAATTAAATTTAACTGAATGCCAGCTTTTCAAATTGGCATAAAGCCACTGGAATTTTTTTCATTGTGAAGTTTTATTAATAGCACATATATTCACCTGAGAACTGATTAAGGAGATTAATGATATCTGTGTGTTACAGACTCTGGTTGCGTAGATTAAAATGTATATGACAATAAAGTAGTGAATCTCAAACAATTTATTAATTTTTAATTATAGAATTCTAAAAATAGTCCTATAGGCTCATAGCTCTTATGTCAAATATTAAAAAAACAAAACAAAATTTTCACAGCACCCCCTGATAAAAACTTACTTCTAGCGGCCCTGATAGATATTATTTGAAATGAGCTCAATCTAACAGGTCATTGGTAGAAAAAGATTAGCAGCCTTAGTGGAAGTGGGCCGTGTTTTATAGCCACACGTTCATCTTAATAAACCGTGGGGATATTCTTCATTCTGAGACACTCATGCATGAATCTAACCTTTCAAGATGCTGAATGATCCTGATGGCTGAGAGCCGGAGCTGCTTTTTTCCCCCAAATGTTTAAGAAGTCTTTTGTGTCTGCTCCTCAGTCTGACCCCATAAAAGCTGCAGGATCAGCCAGGAGGCTTACAGCCGTATTCATTTATGCGCCAGGCTTTTATCCAATTCCTAACGCCCTCAGCTTATTCATTCTAATAGTCTCTCTGTACTGTAGATGGAAATGAAAGTGTACAAACATCCCTGGTAACAGCTTTGAAATGTGTCCTGAGCTGATAAGTAAAGGAAGACATCAAATCTGGGATGTGTTTGCTTTTCTTTAGAGGGAAATTGATCTCAGTAAAAACACTTTATGAGAGTTTTTATTTTTTTTCTACTAGAAATGATAACAGTTTAGACTCATTGGGAAACATCTTGTAAACGTTCCTGCATTTGACAGACACTGTGATGCTTCCTGTATCTGCTATGGTGAAAATAACTCATTTTCTCTCCTCTCAACACGCATTGCTTGTTCCAATCCAGCAAAACAATGACTTCTACGATGCTGAGTCCTCAACTCATGCAAAGTCAGAGAATCTCTTAAAGTGATGGTTACCCTACAAACGAGAGGAACCTGGGGGGCCAACAAGCTGCAGACAATGTCCCACATGATACGATGTTCCATCCTTGAAGGGTTTCCTAAGTCAGGCATCAATGTGTGAACGGGATTCCTGTAGGAAGATTCCAAACCTGATTCCTTCTCTTTGTTGCTTCCGTCACCTTTAAAGGAGAAGTCTGGTCAGCAATGGCCACTTAGAGCGGCCATTTGTGCCCAAATATAGGAACCCCTCCCTCCTGCCATCTTCAAGCAGTAACGTCACGGTGCAGTAAGCCTAGCGCCATTCTCCCTGCTTTACAAGCAAAATCAATGGGAACTACTAGACACATCTGCAATCAACAACAATTATTGAAGATTTCCAGAGGACTTCACCATTGAAATTCACCAGAGCTATAGTGAAACTGAAAATGCCCACGTGCATGGCAGCTGGATGTTGGAATACATCGGATAAAAGTGGAAAAAAAAAAGAGTTATTTCACCTTACCGCACCGTTACGTCACTGATGGAAGATGTCAGGAATGAGGTGTTACTATATTTGGGCCAAAATGGCCGCACCCAGACTCAGTGATAATATTTGTATTTTTTTACTGAATAACTCTAAATTCATTAAATCACCGTATTCGTTTTAGCTATAAATTATGATCCATTGATTATTCCTTGCTGACCAGACTTCTCCTTTAAAATAAAGATAGAAATAAGTACATTAAGTGTGTTTACACTTAATTATAGAAGGTAAATAAGATGATTTGACAATTGAAGGATTTTTCTTATTTTAAATGTAAATTATATTGTTCCATTGGTGTCTCACTTACCTCGTCAGTTCAAGAACAAATTCACTTATTTTAAGAAAAAATGACTTCTTCAGGTTTCATCTGCAGTAGTTCCTCTGATAATCCACCTTTCTATTATTTACAGCCTTCATCTCAACACATCATTCATGATGATGATGAAAAAGCAGGAAAGGTTCGCAGTGCGGTGGCGTCCCTTTGAACTCACCTGTAGCCGTGCTGAGTGTCTACACACACCCCTCCGTTGAAGCAAGGGTTTCTGGGATACGAGGCACAGGGCTGGTGGGACTGGTCCCGTCCGGAGCAGGAGCACACGGCTCTGGACTCCAGTGTCACGGAAACCAGGCTCATCGTCCCACAGTCCACCACGGTGGGCGTGTCCCGCACAGTCAGAACATTGGTGCAGCCGCCAGTGCCGGCACACTCTGAGCCGGGACACTCGTCCACCCGCACCTGGAACACGCTGACCTGCAGGAAGGACTGGAGCTGAAAGAGAGAGAAATAAGGTTTGCAGCAGCTGCTGTCAGAATAATAAAGGTGATTTTTGCAGCAGTAGTGGCAGAGCACTCCTATAGAAGAGCTTTGCAGAATCTTTTTCGATCTGATATGTTTTTTTTTTTCCTGCAGGCAACAATCCTACTTTGTGTTGTTTCTACTTCTGTATTTCAGACGCTCACAGAACGATGTATTTCCTCTGCAGACACCAGCAACTAGCAGGATGATAGTAAAGCAATCGCTCAGCGACTGCCCACACAAACAGCCAGCTGTGTGGGAGCAGAGCTCTGCAGCCTGGTAATGAACCCAGGTCTCTGCAGTGGACAGTCAGTGAGTTCCTCTACTTCTTGCTTGTTTTTCTTCTCCAGCGCCATGAAGAGAAAAAGCCATCTAGCTGAACTCTATCATTCATTTCGGCCCCAGGAGCTCAGGAGTTTGTTCAGTTTTGGCCCGGCCTGTCTGTGCATGCATCTCCACAGCGGGATGCAGCATAACAATTCCTCACAGCCTCTGAAGGAAAGCTGCTGGTCTCTGTGTTGACTTCCTGTTGTTCAGATTGTTTTTCTGGTTAATTTATTTAGTTTATTTCTATAGCGCCAATTTACAACACATGGCATCCCAAGGCACTTTACAGTTCACCAGATCATCCAGTCAGATTGATTCAAAGTTTTCTGTCTAAAGAAAACCAGTTGATTGCCTCGACTCATTGATTCAAAGACACTAAAGCCAGATTTATCCTCAGAAACCAGGTCGACTGCGTTTCTGTCGCAGTGAACGCAAATGTGTCCCTGCCCCCTCCGCAGACAGTCTGCTGCACCGCTCCAAAATTGTAGGTGAACGCAGACAGGAGGCCTCTGATTGGTCAATTCTACATCCGCTCTACAGTATGTGTATTTCCTTTTTGGTAGCTTATCGGCTTGATTTGATTGTATGACCGCCATTGTGGAAAACGACTCGTGAAGTTGGACCAGCTAGGAGAGCAAGGTGCGTGAGAACGCTGGGACCCTTTTTCCACCTGGATCCCCGCTCTGTTTCACCCTCATGTCCCTCCGTTGTCGCGCAAACTTGCCCCCACTTCCTCACCGCCTCAGCTGTTTTTAGACCCATAGGTAGTTCCTGATTTCCCTGATTGTTGTGGCGTGGAATAACATATCGCAGACCACAATTCAATATTGGGCATAAATCAAAAATATCTGTGACAAGCTCACTGCGACACACTGCTGCGGGAGGATAACCAGACCTTAAAGGAATAGTACACCCAAAACATGATTAGCCTTCATTTTCTACTCACCCCCATGCTGAACAACACTCTGGAGTACTTTTTTGATATCTCAAATGCATCTGGAGATCTGGGAGGCTTCTTGCTGTCTGCTGACATTCAAATAATGGAGGTCTATGGTGACCGAGACAGAAAGGTCCATAAAAGTCCACAAAAAACGTGTCAATATTCCTCCATACTGCTCTTCCAATGTATTCCAAGTGTCCTGAGTGGGTAGTGTCCAGAATTTACTCGAAACAAAGTCATTTAGAATGTTTTTAGAGCATAAACAGTAGTGTATAGGATTTCCTGAAAGCGCACACATGCGCGCTCACGACGCTACGGAAGCCGGCAGACCAAACCAGCGCATTCAGCTCGGCAAAGAACTCATGCTCTTCCTCAACACTGAAGTCCTCAGAAATTTTTCTTTCGTTGTTTCTTTCTTTGCACAGGTAAACAGCACATTTCTTCTTCTACGCTTGCATTATTGGCAGAGCAGACGCTGAATGCGCACTTTCATCTGGCTTGGTCTGCCGAATATTGACACGTTTTTTGTGGACTTTTATGGACCTTTCTGTCTCGGTCACCATAGACCTCCATTATTTGAATGTCAGCAGACAGCAAGAAGCCTCCCAGATCTCCAGAGTGTTGTTCAGCATGGGGGTGAGTAGAAAATGAAGGCTAATCATGTTTTGGGTGTACTATTCCTTTAAGCATGCTTGTAGCGACAGTGGAGAGGAAAAAACTCCCTTTTAACAGGAAGAAACCTCCAGCAGAACCAGGCTCAGTGTGAGCGGCCATCTTCTGAGGACGACTGGGGTTCAAGGAGACAGAAGCAGAGATACAAAAGGCAGACGAGCTCTGAGCCAGCTCCCGTGGGATCTTTTTCCAAAGCATGTCAGCGTTTCACAGTCTCAGACACTTTATTTCAGCTCCTGTTAAAAAACAGGCTCATCGTTTCATAAAAAAAAGTTCTAAATATTAAAACCTGTGAGATTTTTCTGATCTTCTGAACATTTTGCAACACACAAAACCTTAAATGGTACAAATATCCTCCAAGTTACACTTAATTAAATGTGTGAAAAAACTAAGAAGACAAACAGATGATAGGAATGTGATGAGCTGTTGCTGACTGGGATCTGTCCAGTTAAACTGGTGTATCGACACCAGCTGTCCTAATGGTGCAGAGCATTTTCATGTGAATGTTGCCATGGTAACAACAAGTAAAAAAATTAAATAGTTGAAACCCTTCAAATTTTTAAAATAATTATTTCTGTGCTTTTTCATTTCAGTTAAATTAATGGTTTGATTTTTTTATAATCTAGAAGTTCTGTAGATTTTTAATTTGAATGATATAACAGAAATAAATGATGTGGAAGAAAAAGCTATGAATATTATCTGTATGAAACTAAAACTCTAAAATCACCACAATCGTTCTGTGTGGACAGACAGCTCATCAGGACTTAGAAAATATTTACCTCCTCACAGATTTGCTCAGTTTTTGTGTTTTGTTTTCTCACTTAAAGGGAAAAACCTTTTTTTACATTGGGTCCTTAATTTTACTTTATTCCATCATGTTCTACTCACCCATATGAGTTTGTGTCATTGGAGCTGTTCTGAAGATATTCTGTTAGGTTATATACAGTAACATCTTCTTATGGGCAACGACTTGAAGGCACAAACTAAACTGTTCATAATTTATTCTTTATGGTACGCCAGCATTCAGAACATGTAGGCGAATCACTGTTTCCAAGACATCCGCAGTTATATTTTTCATATTTATATCTTTTGAAAACAAAGCGGAACGTGTATGACGTCATCCGCTCGCTGGACTTAATTGCATATTTTTACTCCGATACATTTTCAATGTTTGGTTTAGTCACTAAGTAAAAAAAAAACAAAAAAAAACGAGCGAGAGAAACGCAAGTGTTGTGACCCCACCTACTGACTACAAAGTCGGGTCTTGCCAGGGCTTGTTCATCAACACCAATAGGATACGCCTGTTTCGCAAAGCCAGTCTAAGTTTATCCTAAACTGGTTGTTTATATTATTTTAAGTGAATTTAGCCTTCAAAGTTTACCAAAATGTAAAAAAAAATGTAATTCAAACTGCACTACTTTTTACGTATACTTTTCACTACATTACTTGAGTACATCTATTTTTACAGTAATTCTTATGCTTAAGTACAAACCATTGCAGGTACTTTAAGACTTTTACTCAAGTAACATTTCAGTCAGTGACTTGGACTTTTACCAAAGTCGTATATTGGAAAGGTACTTATACTTTTACTTGACTCCGAGATTTCAGTACTTTATACAACACTGTTCAGCGGACAGGATGAATGAACGGTAGTCGGCACTACCATTCATTCATTCATTCATTCATTAGGTCTGCCTGGACAGAATCGTTCTTTCTCTTATGGCTTTCTCTGCCATAAGCTCTGTCGCTTAGCAACCGTGACAGTTGACACACAATACAGGAAAAGACTGAATACTGAACTTTTCAAAACTGTTTCTTTTGTTTTTTTTTTTATTACTGTAAAGTGAACTAAGACTACACTCATGAGAATCCAGAGTGGAATAAAGGTTCCAACCACTGGGAGCGTGAACAAAAAAAAGCAAATGTAACTAGAAAAAGCTGTTTCGGAGAAACAGCAAGTGGGAATGCTTTTGCTGATTGAAAAAAGCTAAAATCACCTGCAGAGCATATGAAAATTTGATAGGAAGTCATCAGAAACTTCAAACTGCAGAAAACAATTTAATCATCTTAAGATTTTGTAGGGTAGAATCATTTGGCAGTAAAATGGCAGAAACAAACTCATCTAAAAAGCTGCACAGCCAAACCATACATGATATCAAAAAATGTCTTGAATGTGGACGCTAGAAGGGTCTTAATATAATGTCTCCCAAGTTTCTAGAAAAATGTATAAAGAAGGCTTAGGCTGCATGTTACGAGGTTAGCAGATGCTTTATTACAGTGTAAATCTTAGAACCTGATTAAGAAATATGCACTGAGGTGTGTGGTCAACAGGCCTTGGTAGTGTAATTTGAAGAAATTGGTTGAGTTTAGGTCATAGCTACGAGCCATACAGCACAATGAATGAGTGTGTGTAAGGAAGAGGCTTTTATTTTATAGAGTCCCGTTAGCCTTATTTCAAAAGTCTATCATGGATGTGTGTCAAGGGAAGGGTCATGCCCAGCAGTGATATAGAATCCATTTCTAAATATGAAATCACTGGTTTTCCATGTTATCGGGTGAATAGATGCTGTATTAGAGCGTAAATTGGAGACTTTTATTGTGAAATTTGCTCTGGGGTATGTTTTGAAAAGGTCCCTAGAGTCTAATAGAAACAAGCTGGTAGAGTTTGGGTCATAATGCTGAGCCATTTGCATCAATTAATACACAAGTATAATATAGAGGCTTTTATTGTGTAGGGTCACTGGAGTCTTATTTTGAATGTCTAGTAGGGTTGTGTGTTTAGAAAAGGGTCAGACCCAGCAGTGATACTTGATGACTTTCCAATTGTTAAATCACTCTTTTCCCCTGTTATTAGGTCAGTAGATGAAGTGGCAATGGGAGGCTTTTATTTTGAAATTTGCTGTGGGGTTTGTTTTGAAAACCCCCCTAGAGTCTAATTTAAAAAAAAAAGTGGTTGAGTTTGGGTCATAATGTTGAGCCATATGCTGGGGAAAAAGTATGAGTTTAATGTCGGGGCTTTTATTTTGTAATGTCC